CAGGTGTATGGTGTTACTTGGTCATATCAGGTGTATGGTGTTACTTGGTCATATCAGGTGTATGGTGTTACTTGGTGGGTGTCATATCAGGTGTATGGTGTTACTTGGTCATATCAGGTGTATGGTGTTACTTGGTCATATCAGGTGTATGGTGTTACTTGGTCATATCAGGTGTATGGTGTTACTTGGTGGGTGTCATATCAGGTGTATGGTGTTACTTGGTCATATCAGGTGTATGGTGCTACTTGGTCATATCAGGTGTATGGTGTCACTTGGTCATATCAGGTGTATGGTGTTACTTGGTCATATCAGGTGTATGGTGTTACTTGGTCATATCAGGTGTCTGGTTTTATTTGGTGGGTGTCATATTAGGTGTCTGGGGTTATTTGGTGGGTGTTGGGTGTCATATAAGGTGTCTATTGTTATTTGGTGGGTGTTATATCAGGGTGTCTGGTGTTACTTGGTGGGTGTCATATTAGGTGTCTGGTGTCATTTGGTGGGTGACTGGCAGGGTGTCTGGTATCTACTTTACTTGCCCCTCTGACTAGACTCACGTCTATACTTTATCTACTTTACCTTCCCTACCCCACCCCTGTGACTAGACTCACGTCTCTACTTTATATACTTTACCTTCCCTACCCCACCCCTGTGACTAGACTCACGTCTCTACTTTATATACTTTACCTTCCCTACCCCACCCCTGTGACTAGACTCACGTCTCTACTTTATCTACTTTACCTTCCCTACCCCACCCCTGTGACTAGACCCACGTCTCTACTTTATCTACTTTACCTTCCCTACCCCACCCCTATGACTAGACTCACGTCTCTACTTTATCTACTTTACCTTCCCTACCCCACCCCTGTGACTAGACTCACATGTCTACTTGATCTACTTGACTTGTCTGATGACCACTGTGTACTCACTGACACGCTGGTCTAAAACCCATCCCTTGTTCCTCCCCTCCCACGTGCGGCTGTTTTAATTGTTATCTCCCCTTTTCCATTTCTCCTCCTTAAGTCAGTTCTCCCCCCCCCCTGTTCTAGCTATTAGCTTATACACATTTTGTGTGCGGAAATTGTTGGAGATAAGGAAATTTTGTTTGTTTCGATGAAAGGAATAGATATAAGCATGATATATCAGGCCGTATACATACAGAATGTTAACAAGAGTCATAGCTAATCGCCCCCCCCCCCCCCCCCCCACGTTCGATTCGCGGAAGTTAATTTTTAAAGCAAAACAGGAAGTGAATGTTCTTGTAAATCTTAAGACGTGTGTTGGTACATTAACATTGGCTTTAACAAAGACAATAGCTCACCACTTTGCCAAAGACAATAGCTCAACACTTTAGCAAAGACAATAGCTCGACACTTTACTAAAGACAATAGCTCGACACTTTACTAAAGACAATAGCTCGACACTTTACTAAAGACAATAGCTCGACACTTTACTAAAGACAATAGCTCGACACTTTACTAAAGACAATAGCTCGACACTTTGCCAAGCTTATTGGCACTAGACTTCACAAAAACAATAGCACTAGACTTTACCAAAGACAACAGCACTAGACTTTACCAAAGACAATAGCCACTAACAAGCTGTAACATTGTATTAGATATTCTAGCTAAAGTAATAAAGAATTCGTATCGTCTAGTTTAACTTTTACTGTAAGAGACTAACTTTAATCCTAAATGCTAACTTGAATTAAAAGACCAACTGTACCATATAACAATGCCATATCTTTCATTCAGCAACCAAACTCTGACTGAATTCAACCATCTCGCTTCAATTCATTTCAAACAATCTCACTTGAACTAATTTCAACAATCTCACTCTATCCCATTTCAACAACCAAACTCTATCTGAATGTCAATCTCGCTGCAATTCATTTCAACAATATCAATTAATCTAATTTCAACAATCTCACTTGAATTAGTTTCAACAATCTCACTTGAACTAATTTCAAACAATCTCACTTGAACTAATTTCAACAATCTCACTTGAATTAGTTTCAACAATCTCACTTGAACTAATTTCAACAATCTCACTTGAACTAATTTCAACAATCTCACTTGAACTAATTTCAACAATCTCACTCTATCCCATTTCAACCACCAAACTCTACTCCAACTTATCCCTGCAAGCAAAAATTGGCATCGTAGACATCAGATACCAGAAATCGGCCAACAGGTTGAAATAAAAGAACATCGATTTTTGTTTCCTTTATAAAGCTCAGATTAATATTTACGTAATTAGTTTCTCTCCTCTTGTGTGTCCGCGCGTTTATTCCTGGTATAAAACAAGATATCAGCGATCTTCTATTTTATGGATAAATGCAAATGTATATTCTGTATGTGTGTTTTAACATTGTTCTTTTTATAAGTATGATATGTATGTGCTTAAATAAGCATGATAAAATGTGTATATATAAGTATTTTAATTAATTAAAGTGACGAAACCATGCCTATGCTAATAATTACATGTTTAGTAAATTTTGAGAAAGTTTGATAATAGGGCTTGTAAGTAGGTCACTAACTTCTCGTGCTTGCCAGCTTGTATTTTTCAAACCAAATGTAAATATTTTTATGAATTCGGTTAAAAAACAATAATAGAAAAGTTATTTTCGTTTCTGCTCAGTTATTTTAAATAGTAAACAATGAGAATGATGGGTTCCATGATGTAGGCTAGTTTAAAGAAACAAATAGCTTACGTGAAATTGTCATTTTTGTTTTGAAATATGCTTACAGTTAGTGATTATTTGTTTGAATCTGTAATACGTTGTAATAAAAGTAGTTACAATATTAATGTAATATTAATAGCCTTGGTTTTTTTGTACTTAATTTGATTATATTATTAGTAAATTTTTTATAATATTGCATTTTGGGCCTCTTAGTAAACTTGAGGCAAGGGCTAGAAACATAGAGCCATCATGTTTTTTTTTTATCAATAGGAATCATGTTCAAATCCATTAATTTAGTTTAAAAATTTGAAATCTCGTTAGCCAAGATATTTCACATTTTAGCGAGAGAGACCGAGACTTACAAGCCCTATTATGATGGTGTCTAAAGTAGAGTTTATATAATTTTGTGATTCCAGTGTAAACGGGTATTAATACATGATAGCACTTTCCTGGGGAGGGGGAGGGAGTTGCAATCACTGACAATTTGTAATGGGAAGAAAAAATTAAAAGGGAGACATAATCCATTATTTTTTTTTCAATGAACATCAATAACGAAAAAAAAAGTATTTTTTTCTCTTTAGATCTAGCTTTAATGTGGGTTAAGGGAGTGGATAAGTATAACATTGTGGCATCATTTTATGGGGCGGGGATAGAGTTTTTTGTGACGGTCTGTGACGGTGTGTCGTTTTTTTGTGACGGTCTGTGATGGCTGGGAGGTATGTGTGATAAAACGTGAGTTGAAAAAAAAAAACCGTGACGTTAATGGATGACTCCTTACTATCAGATATCTGCAATAGAAATCAATCGACGTCGTTCTACACCCTCCATCCCATTCGTCAGTTACGATTTCATGCTTCACAAAATAAATTTTTTTTAGTCTTTCATCGTTTAATCGGCTACACATTGATTAGCATAGTATGCGTAGTGTATGCGCATATGTTATCTACGAGGAGGTGTGTAACATATGGGGAAATTGTGCAAATAGTCGTGCTGTATAAATAACTTACAACTCACCTACAACTTACTACTTACATACAGCATATATTTTACATACATTGAAATAAGAGAACAGTGGCTTAAGTATAATTGAATGGATACGAGGCAAATTTTTCTACTGGTATGTTGGTTAGGATTCACTTGTGTTACGGTGATTATTATAATTATGTATTCTGGTATGTTTATTTTGATAGCCTTGCATGTTGGTATGGTGATTTCGATAAATGAATATGATGGTATGATGATCATGATAAACTTGTATGTTGGTATATTGATTATGATGAACGTGTGTTTATTATGATAAACTTGTATGTTGGTATGTCGATTATTGTAAACTTGGATGTCGGTATGTTGATTATGATAAACCTATGTGTTGGTATGTTGATTATGATAAACCTATGTGTTGGTATGTTGATTACGATAAACGTGTATGATGGTATATGAATAATGATAAACGTGTATGTTTTTATGTTGAATGATAAAATTGTATGTCAGTATGTTGATTAGGACCAAGTGTGTATGTTGATTATTGTAAACTTGTATGTTAGTATGTTGAATGTTGTAAACGTATATGTTTGTTTGTTGATTATGATAACCTTGTGTGTTTGTATGTTCATTATTGTAAACGTATATGTTGGTTTGTTGATTATGATAAACGTGTATGTGGGTATGTTAATAATATACATAGAGGTCTAAACATAGAGGTTTTTATATAAGGGTTTCGAAATAATTCTCAACGATTCATACAAGAGCTGTTGCGAACAAACCATGCGACGATTCTACGGGTAAATGACGCACAAATTTTGCCCGTTGCTCATATTGCGCATATCACCAACTATTGTTAATCAATAAGTCAATCATGCGTCTTTAATGGGTAGTATACACATCTATCATACGTCTGTTTAACTTTCATTTTAGAAGGGTATTATATACATAAGTATAACATACGTCTAAAAATACGTCTTACATGTATATTATACACGTCTAGCATACGTCTGTCTAAAATACGTTTTAAACCGTATTATACACGTACGTCTAACATGTCTAAAATACGTCATGTATAGATATTATACACGTCTAACATACGTCTAACATGGATATTATACAGGTCTAGCCTACGTCTAACATACGGCCAAATACGTTATAAATGTCTATTATATACGTCTAGCCTACGTCTAACATACATCTAAATATGTCATAAATGTATAGTATACATGTTTAGCCTACGTCTAACATACATCTAAAATACGTCTTAAAAGGGCATCATACACGTCTTACACACGTCTAACAGACGTCTTACATAGTTTTGTTTACTTAATTTCAGCGCCGACCATCCTTTCCCCAAGGAGGACTTGACTGGCGACTCCGGCGCAAAGTTCACCAAGATGGCCGCTGTAGGCAGCGACGGAAGACGGTCTCAGCCTGCGAGCTTCCGGAGAGCGACGAAGACGACGAGGACGGTCCGGAGGACGTGCTCCTACACGAGAGGACATGTCCCCTCTTCCACACCAACCCCGCCACGTCGTCCGACGGGAAACCCGACGAAAGTCCCCACGACGGGCCCGACGACAGCCGCGTGCTGGCGACGGGAGAGAACGCCGACGCCAGGAAAGATAAAAACCAGTTCGCCTCCCCTTGTGATAAAACTCCCTCCTCCTCCTCCTGCCTCCTCAGCCCTCCGCCAGTTTTCCAAACCCCGACGCAGCCGAAGTGCAACTGCTCGGTGAAAGACGGCAATCGGTCGCGCAATAACAACAACAACAACAACGAAGACCAAGGCAGCGTCGGAAGCAGCGGCGGGATCCGTCGGGGAGGGGGAGGCAGGGTGAAACGGGCGCGGAAAAGAAACCGTCGGGAGACGGTCATTCTGAACGTCGGCGGTCACGTGTTCGAGACCTACCGCGCCACCGTGCGGCGACTGCGGACGCCGATTTTTAACTGTGACGATCAGTTGGAACTCTATTACCGGAAGTCGCACGGGGACTATTTCTTCGACCGGGACCCTACGGCTTTTGGATCGATACTCAATTTTTTGAGAACAGGTGAGCTGCACATACCGACCAACATGTGCGGGCCAGCGTTACAGGTGAGTCTTCAAGACGGTTAGCCGTACCATTTCTTCAACCTGTGTTTCTTTCAGACTTTTTCTCCGGAAGGGGGGGGGGGGGGCACGATATTTTTTAGAGTAGTGGGGAAGGCGGAGTAAATTTTCCGGGGGTGGGGGGGGGGGTTGGACACTAGTAAAAAGTACATATTTTCTACATAAATTCCTTTTCATTGGGGGGAGGGGGGGGGGGGGCAGATGCGTCGCGATGCGATGCGTGAGCGGGGTTGCGGACCGCACCGGGAGTCACCATTTAGATGGATGACACCAAGACTAAAAAATATTACAAGATATATAGAATAAACATGTTTTTTTTTGGCCAGTTCAATGCATGGTTAATTAGAGTTAACAAAATAGTTTGAGTACATAATGACGATCGCGACAAGTGGTAGGTGGGTGGGGGGGGGGGGGGGGGGGGTAAAAGAGGAGGTCACACTAGGTGACATTAACATGCAAACAACGCTACATCCAGCTGTATTAACAACCGACTGTAGATAAACATCGTTAGTTTTAAATGTGAACACTTTAAACCTTATACTGGGGGGGGGGGGGTGACACTAATTGTAAAATTTACAGAGAAAAAAAAGGTGGGGGGGTGACACCATGAGCTGCCGCACCGGGTCACCCCCGGCCTAGCGACGCCACTAGTGGGGGGTCGGTAGATTTTCTTTAACATATCCCAGTGTGCTTAGCTTGTGTTAGTTTTCCAAGATATTGTTTTCCATTCGAAATTAACGATTACATTATAATTACGGGTGTGCGACAAACTAAAACATCCCGTACTACTAATTTTAATTAAGTGTCAGCTTAATGAACGACTGCGTGTTTTCAAGAATTTTAAACTGCTAGCTACGATAAATTACTTTAAAAAAAACAACAATTCCCATCTACCTTAATCGTATGCTCGAATCCTAGTCTTCTATCTTTGTAGAGTCAATCTTGATGGGTTTATTATGTCTTTAATGAATTCTTTTATTTTTGCGTGCGCGTACGGTTACATTTCTATGCTATTTAAAGTTTCAGATGTCAAGCGTACAATAAAAAGAGTTTATTGCAGTTCTTGATTTTATTTACGTAGAAAAAAAAGGTTCGATACCCATGGGGTACGGGGGTAGAAAGGTGGGGCCTATTGTAGGACTTTGTTGATTTCATTGGTAGTCTCGGATCATAACTAATTGCTATAATCCAAGCTGTTTTATATAGACCAGTGGTTCTTAACCTGGGTTCAATCGAACCCTGGGGTTCGGTGAGACAGTCTCACGGGTTAGTCGGAAGTCAAGATACATACTCTATATGTTAAGAAGGGTTCGGTGAATGCGCATATGAAACGAGGAGGGTTCGGTACCTCCAAAAAGGTTAAGAAACCACTGCAATTGACTATGTCGTAAGGTAAAAAGAACTCTCTTTAGACCTAACGATCAAAAGGACAGATGACGTACAGTTCATATTATTATGTTTCTCGATCTCGGCATATGAAAAGGAGGTGTGGTCAGCACTATGCACAGCCGCCTTTACTTTCCCTAACGTGAGTTAGGTACCCATCAGAGTTGGGTGGACTCAGGGACGGTCTACTGACTTGAACTCGGATTCGAACTCGAAACTTTCGGGTTAGCAACCTAGAGGTCTACCGCAGGACCACGCCATCCTGTACTACCTTTTTGAACGGGAGGGGGGGGGGGTCCGATAGTGTGGTCAGCACTTTTGCCGTGCCGACTTTCCTTAACGAGAGTACGGTACCCGTCAGAGCTGGGTAGACTCAGGGATTCGAACTCGAGACTTTCCGGTTAGTAATCGTGCGCTCTACTCCCTGACCACGCCGTCCCACAATACACTATAGGGTTCATCCATAAATGACGTCACGCTTTTTTGGGATGATTTTTACCTCCCCCTCCCCTCCGTCACACGTCGTCACAAAAAGCCAGACCACCCTAAAATGACGTCAAAACACCCCCTCCCCCCCAAAAAAAATGTGAATGAATTTTTCTTGAAGCATCGATATATTTCCAAATCCTTGTCAGAAATCTGTCAACATAGAGTCTTTTGATCAATTCCTATTACAATTTATTGAAACCAGAGGCGTAGCGACCCTTCCCGGCGCCCGGGGACAAACTTTCAATTTGGCGCCCCACTTGGGAGCAAGTTTTCAAATTGCACCCCCCCCCCTCAAATTTTCAAATTGCACACCCCCCTCAAACTTTCGATTTGCACCCCCCCCCTCAAACTGCAAAAATGCAGCTAAAATGATATTTTAATTTGTTTTTACAACCCATTTTGGCGCCCCGTAAGGTCGGCGCCCGGGGACATATGTACCCCCCTGCCCCCCCCCCCCCCATCGCTACGCCTCTGATTGAAACCCTTTTTTTAAAAAGCGAAATAACGGCTAAACTCATTTTCCAACATTGCTTTTCATAATGCAAAAAAGTGACGTCACACCATCTGACCCCCCCCCTCCCCCTCATCACACACAGTCACAAAATTACTGACCCCCTTCCCCTTTACGAGTGTGTGACGTCATTTCTGGACCACCCCCATACAGACACACTGCTAACCTAAGCATCACTACTGTACTGCCCTGTCCCCAGAATGAGCTGGAGTTTTGGGGTATCGAGGAGGTAGACATCGCTCGCTGTTGCTGGACGCAGTACAACACGTGGAAGACACAGTGCCGCTCGCTGGAGAAGCTCGAGTACGACCGGAAGTTCTCCACAACCCAGCAGGTCACGTGCGTTCTTTCACGCGTTTTGATTGGATGGAATTTTTTTTCTTAAAAAAACTATCGTTTACAGGTTTTATTAACGAAGGGTAGTTTTAATGAATACACGTGTTACATAGTAAATTCAAGATTTTTTGAGTTTTGGGTTTTAAAATATAAAGGTTTGCTAGTGCTTTGTTAGTAAATTAAAAAACAACAAACTCGTACAGGTACTGTTAAAGTAATGTCAATATTTCTGGTTTAAATGAGTACCGGTACTGTTAAAGTAATGTCAATATTTCTGGTTTAAATGAGTACAGGTACTGTTAAAGTACTATGTTTAGTAATAAGTTACATGAGTGCAGGTACTATAAAGGTACTGTGTTTATTTCTAGTTTAAATAAGTACAATTACTGTAAAAGTACTGTGTTTAGTATTAATTTACATGAATACAGGCACTATTAAGGTACTTGTTTTAGTACTCGTGTAAATGAGTACAGGTGCGTTTAAAGTACTGTGTTAATTACTAGTTTAAATGAGTACAAGTACTGTTAAAGTACTGTATTTATGACAAAGTGAGACAATTATTAAAGCAGTACTAGACTTAAAATATCTTGAATGCGGGGGTGTTTGGGAAAAGGTGTGTGTGTGTGTGGGGTGGTGATAGTTAGTTTAGGTTAACGATTTAGAATTTGTTGAACGTATTACAATCTAAAGAAAATAATGTTTTAATCTGCTGCCCTGACCTTTAACCCCTGCGTCTGGTGTCCAGGTGCCAGACATCGATGCCGACAGCTCGTGCTGGGTACGTCATAGGTCAAAGATTTGGACATTCCTGCAGGACCCAGGTTCATCGAGAAAAGCTAAAGTAGGTTCAAAGTAGGTTTCTTGTATGGACGTATGAGAAACCTATAGCGTTCATTTTCTTGTGCAGACAGTATAGAATATATGTATATATATACATAATATACATAATATATATATATATATATATATATATATATATATATATATATATATATATATATATATATATATATATATATATAAATTATATATATATATATATATATATATATATATATATATATATATATATATATATATATATATATATATATGTTGAATGTTCTACATTAATGATAACTGACAACCTGTGTTTCATTGGTCTGTGTAAAGATGGAAGATGTACAGTTATTAATACGGACTTGTGCCTAGTGTCATATAAACCACCAAACATGTGTAATGTGGTTGTCCTCAAGGATGTAACACATCAGGTCCAATGTTCCAATAGAAAAAAAAGTGCCAGCACCCAACACTTCATTATCTAGAGCCGCCCAGCTCCGGAGTTCATTAAGTTTATGGCCAGAAATAAACCCAAGAGATCAGTGACACGACGGGGATAATTAGTGGCCAATATCATCGATAGATCGATACTCATGCACGCTGCATGCCTATGTTGTTTGTGGCTGGGAGAGGGGGGGAAGGGGCGGTATTTATTGACTGCATCTCATCCATCATTGTACTGTCTGTGGTCAGAATGACCTCTATGGTCAGACTTACCTCTGTGGTCTAACTGTGGTCTAACTGTGGTCTAACTGTGGTCTAACTGTGGTCTAACTGTGGTCTAACTGTGGTCTAACTGTGGTCTAACTGTGGTCTAACTGTGGTCTAACTGTGGTCTAACTGTGGTCTAACTGTGGTCTAACTGTGGACTAACTGTGGTATAACTGTGGTCTAACTGTGGTCTAACTGTGGTCTAACTGTGGTCTAACTGTGGTCTAACTGTGGTCTAACTGTGGTTTAACTGTGGTCTGACGTCCCTCTTTGATTGACTTCTGTGGTCTGACTTACTGCTATGGTATGACTGTGGGTTGAGAGTGACCAAATTGCCCTCTCTGTTACGACTGTATTGCCCCAAGACGGTTAAATACTACAAGACTTGACTTCACAACGAATACTTCTAGTTAAAATACATTTCATATGTCCCCTTCCCACCTCAAAAAAAAAAAAAAAATTAAAGTAGAAAAAAAAAAATCAAGTAATGGCCCCAGTTGTGTCCCTGACCAGAAATTGCATAAGGATGATTAACTGACCTCTTTAAGGACAAGCGAAATCTGGCCGTAATCCATTTTGATGACGTGACCGTAGAATATTCTCGAGAATTCTATTCGCTCCGTACTCGCCACGTATTGAATGTGGAACTGTTCCATTGTTGCCGGAAGCAATTTGTAACAGCTAACCCTGTCTTCTCCACAGATCTACGCCTGGATATCAATCATCTTCGTTTTTGTTTCCATTTTTTCCTTCTGCGCCGAGACCCACCCCAAGTTCAAGGTCAAGGCCAGAGACATGACCCACTTAGCCTCCTTCTACGAGTTCCTGAACGTCGAGAATATTCCCTGGGAGAACGTTTTCGCGGAGATTCAGAACAAGAGCCTCGCCGCCAACAGCAGCGTGGGTTCGAAACACAACCAGACGAACCAGGTAGTTCGACAGAAGCGTCACGACGATGACGCGGGGGACCTCGGGGATCAGCACCCACAGACCCAGAGGAAAAAAAGGTTAGCCATGTGCCTCCCCCATAATGACTTAAGTCACGATGGCAAAGACAAGCCCACGGAGGAGCAAGGCGGTGATTGGGGCAACAAGGATCTGCCCCACCCCGCGTTGCTGATGATGGATTTGGGCTGTTTGATCTTCTTCTCGCTCGAGTACCTCACCCGCTTCATCTGCTCCCCGAGCAAGCTCAACTTCGTCCGCGCTCTACAGAACATCGTCGACTTTCTCGCCTTCGCGCCGGATTACATCGAGTTCACGTTTCTAATCATAGACCCGACTAGGAACGAAGGCGTGGCGATCATGGAGATGTTTTTTATTCTACGTATTTTAAGACTGTTTCGAATTTTCAGGCTGATCAGGCACGTCCCTGGGTTGTGGATTTTGTTGTACACGCTGAAGGCCAGCTTCAACGAGCTGATGCTGATGTGCGTCTTTCTCCTCATCGGGATGGTTGTGTTCGCCACGCTCGTGCATTTTGTCGAGCCCGACGGCATCTTCACGAACATCCCCGTCGGGTTCTGGTGGAGCGTCGTTACCATGACGACGGTGGGCTACGGGGATATGTACCCGCAGTCCGCGGCCGGGTATTTCATCGGGTCGTGCTGCGCCGTGGCCGGGCTGCTGATGATCGCGTTCACCGTGCCGATCATCGTGAGTAACTTTGTCCTGTACTACACGCACGTGCAGTACGGGCTGGCCAGGAAGGACCGGGAGATGGAGAGGACGAAGGAGAACGAGGAGGACCTGGCCAGGAGCCGGAGCCAGTTGGACATCGAAGGGGCCGTCCTGCCCTCGCAGACGACCACCACCACCACCCGCAACGGCAAGTCCTACACGTTTCTCAGCAACGCTTCCGAGACGGAGCAGGTGACCTTCATGGGCAACGCCTCCGAGACGGATCAGCCGGAGGTCAAGGCCAGGCGAAGTTCAAGGCCGTGCTCGACGTCGTTTGAACTGCAGGAAGGCGTGGTAGTGAAGGGGGCGTCGTCGCCGCCGCCGCTGCCGCCGATGGTAGTGTTTGACGGGCAACAAATCACGTGATGCAGCCTGGTCACGTGAATACGACCACGTGATTCAACATTTGTGATGACGTAGCGTCACGCGACGTGGCTTTCAGTAATATTTAAACACATTTTGAGCTTCACAATTTTTTGTGTGTAATGTTATCACTGTCAAGCGAGTGGTGGTTTCTTTTTTTTAAACACTGAACGCAAATAACAAACATGATGATTGTAGCGTATTAGCTGGCTACTGGCCACATGTGCACAGGGGGAAGTTTGGGTGTGTTTATCAGCCTTGTGGTCAAAACTACACAACCGCCTCACACCTGCTACACATCTGCTACACACTGATTATGAGTGATCAACTTCTACATTTATTTATTTTAAACTAATCAAACTCGCCCATTTTTTTAAAGTAATTATTTATACATTGAACTGTTTCTTCCCAAGTTTAATTCTTATGAACACCGTTTAAATGCCTTTTGTTGTTTCCTGCTACGCTGGTAATCACAATGATTCACGTCATTTATGTACACATAATGTTTATGCAGACTTTAATTCTTTATTTCAGCTGGTACGTTTAAAAGTATATCGATTTAAAAATAAATAAATAGGAAGCTATCTTTAAAGTTGTAAGCCAATTATATAATAAAAAGGTTAATTATTTAAAAAAAAACGAAACAAAACAACAACAACATCAACTAACGAACAACATTGCTAAAGTGATAAGACTTAGGTTGGGTTTAGAAGCTTTAGACGCCTTCTAGTATAGAAGTTGAAGAAAACTCGGATATAAATTTTTGAATACATAGAAAGAGAATGGACTAACTAGTGTAGTAATGGGGTCTATAATTAGCCACGAACGCCAGGGTAATCTAGAATATAATGTTGCCTAATTAATGAGGTAATTGACCTTAATGTATAAGATAAGTATCAGAACATCAAAGGATAAAAAGATTGTTGCATTTACAGAAAAAAACATGGACGAAATGTATTCTTACCTTATGAAAAAGGGGGATAATTTGTTACTCTAAAATGGGAGGTAATATAGAAAAGAGGAGTTAGTGTGCTGTTACTAATGAAGTTATTTTATATTAATTTAAAGGAAAAGGGATGTAATTTGTTGTAACTTAATGGTAAAAACGAGGTTGTGTGTTAGTTGTTATCTTCTTAAGCTCGCTCATCGATTTAGAGTTGACATGAGTTTTTTCAATAATGGCTGGTTAAATGTAAACAATATCAGATTTAAAAAAAAAGTGTAATTTATTATACGTTGGTATAGGGCTGGTAAGTAGGTCAATAAACAGTTCTACGGCTCAATGAAACCTGCATGGGCCATAGAACTGTTTATTGGCCTACTTTCCAGCCCTATAACTTTTAACTGCTCGTTAAATTAAAACACTATCAGACATAAAAAAAAGTGTTATTTCTTATACTATGGGACAGCTTAAAATGTTTTGAGGGTCAGTTAGAGATTGGGAGGGGGGGGGTCTATTTGCTTTTTTTTTTGAGACCTCACTATAATCCGCCACTGTCGATCACATTGAGATCTGTCCAGTGGCGTAGCGAGGTCGGGTGTCACCCGGTGCGGCACTTAATGGTGTCACCCACCAGAGGCGTAGCGACCCTTCCCGGGGACAAACTTTGAAGTTTTCGATTTGCACCCCCCCTCAAACTTTCGATTTGCACCCCCCCCCCCCTCAAGTTTTCGATTTGCACCCCCCCTCAAACTTTCGATTTGCACCCCCCCCCTCAAGTTTTTCGCTATATATTTTCCTATTTTCTGCCTTGGTGTCACCCCCCTAAATGGTGTCACCCGGTGCGGTCCGCACCCCCGCCCGCCCCTCCCCCCCCTCGCTACGCCCCTGGATCTGTCTCAGATTAGCTATCGAGGGGTGTTTAGAAAACGGGACTATCACCCCCCCCCCCCCAAAAAAAATGAATAAATAATGTACCAGGTATGGATGTGCATTTTTTCTTCTCTTAACGATTCAAGTGTGTGCCCTTCTCATTAAGAAGATTACGATGTTTGTTCTCAGGTTTCAACATTTAAAGACTCCTTTAATGATATGTTATAATGTCGTACGTATCTTACTGCTAAGTATATTACTTCTAGTAGATCAAGTAATTAAAAAAAATATTTGTGTTTGTTTCAAACGTAGGCTGTTTGCCTTTTTGTGTGTGTGTTTTAAAAATGAATATTATCTATCTTCCTTGAAAGTTTAAAATGATTATTTAAATCACTATTTTGTTTTTAATTGCCAATTAATTTTTAATTTATTTCAACGTGTAAGGGGTTGCACCTTGAGTTTGTATAATAATGTACAATATTTATTAAAACAACGAAACATAATCCTATACTATGTTACTTGAAAGATAGTGCCATCACATTTTAAGTGATATTCTCAATTTTTTTAAAACACCAATTTTAATCATATTGCTTTAGCTATTCAAGATTTATTTGTTGCGATTTTTTGGAGAACTTCAACTTTTTAATTTACCTTAATTTTGTAACATTTTAATGTAGTTTATACTAATTTATTTTACTATCTAACGCGTTTACACTTACGACATGTATACTATACATTTCTAGGAAAAAAAAACTTCGCTATAGGGCCTAAGATAATAGGGGAGCCTACTCACTTATTGCGAAGCTTTATATTCTGTACGTTTATAGTAGGCCTATACATGTCGCAAGTGTAAACGAGGTATAACAACGGGCAGATATTGAAACTGGTCTCAAAATTTTGAATTTTATTTTTTTAAAAAGCAAGTTATTTTTAATACAAAAATGAGAGCTTAATTTAAAATTAATCCTGAGCTGGCTAGGTAATTGTGGGATCAATTATTGGACATTACAAATATTTTAGGATTTGTCATCTGAGAAATCGAACCGTTCACAAAGTATGTGATCAAATATCGGGGATTAAGGGAGTGTTAAACGCGTTGGAGTAGCATTAATTTACAATTTAATCAATAAAATAAATGTTTTCATTTTTTTGTGTGTGTAAAAAAAATGCAGCATGTTGAGCATGAAGCATAGAAAGGGGTCTAAAAAGTTTTTGTTTTGAGCTAGGTTTTTTTCCTGTTGTTGATGACTAAAATATTGTACCACTATGTAATGCGATCAAACTTGCCTTAAGTTATTTTATGCAAGATGCAAACGTTTGACAGTGCCTTAACACCAAGCCATCTCTAAGTCGATGCTGAGTTTGTCACACAGTCCATCATTGCTGATTTTATTCACCCCCACCCCCACCCCCCACCACACACATGTTCACGTTTTATATCACACACCTCTCATAGTTGATTATGATTACCACACCCCTCTTGCTTAAGTTTATTTACCACCCACCCCTCATTGCTAAATTTATTTACCACCCACCCCTCATTGCTTAATTTATTTACCACCCACCCATCATTGCTAAACATTTTTACCACTCACCCCTCATTGCTAAATTTATTTACCACCCACCCCTCATTGCTAAACATTTTTACCACTCACCCCTCATTGCTAAATTTATTTACCATCCACCCCTCATTGCTAAATTTATTTACCACCCACACCTCATTGCTGATTTTATTTACCACCCACCCCTCATTGCTAAATTCATTTACCACCCACCCCTCATTGCTGATTTTATTTACCGTTCATCCGTCATTGCTAAATTTATTTACCACCCACCCCTCATAGCTAAATTCATTTACCACCCACCCCTCATTGCTAAATTTATTTACCACCACCCCTCATCGCTAAATTCATTTGCCATCCACCCCTCATTGCTAAATTTATTTACCACCCACCCCTCATTGCTGATTTTATTTACCACCCACCCCTCATAGCTAAATTTATTAACCACCACCCCTCATTGCTAAATTTATTTACCATTCACCCCTCATTGCTAAATTTATTTACCACCCACCCCTCATTGCTAAATTTATTTACCACCCACCCTCATAGCTAAATTTATTAACCACCACCCCTCATTGCTAAATTGATTTACCATTCACCCCTCATTGCTAAATTTATTTACCACCCACCCCTCATTGCTAAATTTATTTACCACCCACCCCTCATAGCTAAATTTATTAACCACCACCCCTCATTGCTAAATTTATTTACCACCCACCCCTCATTGCTAAATTTATTTACCACCCACCCCTCATAGCTAAATTTATTAACCACCACCCCTCATTGCTAAATTTATTTACCATTCACCCCTCATTGCTAAATTTATTTACCACCCACCCCTCATTGCTAAATTTATTTACCACCCACCCCTCATTGCTTATTTTATTTACCATTCATCCGACATTGCTACATTTATTTACCACTCATCCCTCATTGCTATATTCATTTACCACCCACCCCTCATTGCTGATTTTATTTACCACCCACCCCACATTGCTAAATTTATTTACCACTGACCTCTACCACAACTAATATTATAACCACACACCTGTAGAACATACGATGGTTTCTTTTATTTTTAATGTTTAGTTTTTTCACTTAAAATGTGTCTATAAATTTGTAAACATTTGTATATATTTATAAACTTTTGTACATATATATATATTTATAAAAATTTCTAATGTTTTGTAAGACATTTTAAGTTTAAAAATCCACTAAAATTGGTAGTAGGTGTTATTAATTTTGATATATTTATTTCAAGCTAATTATTTGAAACTTATTTGTAAGATTTTTCAAATTGAAAAGTCCGTTGAAATAGGTAGTCGATGTTATTGATCTTGATATACTTATTTCTTACTAACTATTTAAAACTTATTAGTGAGGCATTGTTAAACCTTTCTGCTCAAAACGCTCTTATGAGCTATGCTATAATTTTAATTTTGTATAACTTGAACCTTTTAAGGTTGTGACTTTAAACATAGTTTTTTTTTTTTTAAACAGATTAAATTCATTGATTTTGGAGGCGTAGCGACCCATTGCTTTGCGCCCGGGGTGAACTTTCGATTTTGTGGCCCCGTCAATTTATATGGTTATTTATATTTGATAAAAACGCGCCCCCTCCCCATTTAAGAAAGGAGAAGAGCGCTTATTACTAGTCACAGTTCGTAGTAGTTTTTTATTAAACTAGTTAAATTAGTCTGGAAAGTCAATTGGTAATGTATTTCCTGATTTTAAATTGTGTATAATTCAGAAATGCAACTCTTAATA